AAGAATTCAGAGCGGAGGTTTAGCTTGGACATTTTCGTGCGCAGCTTCATTTAGTGTTTGTGTTAGAAGTTTAGCCTGACAAAATGTGTTAGCAACATTGTAGGCTCTCTTGAGGCGTCGTGCCTGCCGCAATTTATTTGTGTCTGCGCTCTGACCGCCTATCCGTGATGACCTTAAAAGCTGCACCAAACACACGCATGCGCGTCAAGGCCCGCGCCTAAGCAGTCGTAGTTCCTTAAGGGCCAACTGGTCGCGTAACCTTATCCCAATGCGGTCAATGATGCCACAAGGAAACGTACTTGACAATAATTTATAAGTCACTGTCACCTCTCAAACTGTTAGGACACCGTCAGTCTGCTCCCAATGACGGGGTTCGCTGCGAAGCGGGACATTCAGCGCACTCGAGATCAACCAGCGGCAACTGCCACCCGAGACAGCAACTCCGGGTTTTGTACACGATAAACCCTCCTCCGAGTGGATTCCAAAGTTACACCCTTCAAATAGTATTCTTCCTTGGGGATTCCAACGGGCGTAATTGGACGATGACACCACACAGAAGTTACCGTTGCAACAGTTTGGGTCAAGCCAGGGCATATTTAACCTTTCTAAGCGTTACCTATTTTAAGTGGGCGAGTCGTTCCTATTCCCCTGTCCTGTTAAAACTGCCATAAAAGTCACCTTACTTAATCCAGGCTCCAAAACACAGATGAGTTAATATGCCCTAGCGTGCGGCAATTTTAGCATTTGACTTCTATCCGAACGAGTGTGAATTTCAGCCTTAGATTTTGCAAGCGCTTTTAACTACTGTCATTTAGAGAGTCGGCACCTTTCGCACTAGGTTCGGTTTAGTGCAAATGAGCTTCTAAAAACAACTCCCTTTTGGGCCCATGCACATTTATCATTTTCGCGCTTGATAAAGGCTCCCCTTTGTTTTGGTTTTGTCACCTCCAAGTGCATGTTTTCAACGATATTTTACCCCAGTTTTGCGAAACTGTGACACAACCAAACACCAATCCACACAAAGAAGGTTTCAAACGCCAGGTTTTAGGTTCGTGCACCCTAAGACAATTACTCCGACAACTGTTCGATGGTGGAGATTTTACAGTACAAGGTATGTGACCAACGGCCACACTCAGTTACTTGACAAGACGTACCCGGGCACTAGGATGTACGTAACAAAAGCTCGTGACTGTGAAAAAAGATGTGACCGCTGGCG